TCAAGTCTAAGCCTTGGGAAGGAATGGGAGCACATATGCACTACTTTTTAGTGTTTACGGCCCAAGGTGATTGCCTTGGCCGTAAACACCATATGTTCTTCATTTTCTTTGATGTTAAGGTCCTATACTCTTCTTGGAAGTATTCTAAACTTGGTTCCAAGGCTTTGGAAGGGATTAGGGGTCATTTTACCCCCTTAATTAGGGTTTACGGCCCAAGGAGATTGCCTTGGCCGTAAACACCTTTTGATCTTGTTTTCTTGATGTTTTCTAGGTGTAAACTAAGTGATTCAAGCATATAACAAGCTAAGGCAAGAATACTTACAATATAGAAGCTTGTAAGGGTGTTTAAGGTCCAAGAACACTATGGTGTGTTCTTGGTGTTCTTGGTGAAATGAAGAACACTTGAAGATCTATCAAAATGAAGAGATTTCATGGATGAAATCATGTACAATCACTAGATATTGAAGGATATCAACTAATCAAGGAAAGAAACACTTACAAGGTTGAAGATGCTAGTGAAAAATCGGATGATACTTGAGAGAGAATGACTTCTAGGCTTGAAAATGGTAAAAATGACTAAAAATGACTAAGTGTCATATTTATACCTTAGAGTTTACGGCCGTAAACTCCATTTTATGGCCGTAAACTCCAAACTCTTGGAGTTTTGAGACTTAAATGTTGCACATTGAACTCTAGAGTATACTTCCTATATTTACCTCTTGAAGGTACTAGGCTTTAGAACACTCAAACAGGCTCTAAACAGTGCTAAAAGTTAGCAGAAATAAGTCTGACTTAGATTGAAGTGAATGGTTGTACAAGATAGAAATTTCGAGTTGTCACATTCGCCATCTGCGTTCTAGGCTTGCATGGTGCCCGTTTGACTCCTCACGTCGTGAGAAATCCATTACTCATGTCGTGAGCTTTTGACTTATCACTCCATAGACTTGCCATGCGTCTTCTAGCTTTGAAATGTGACGTTTTGACTCCTCATGTCGTGAGAAATAAAGCTCACGCCGTGAGTCCAGTTAGATTAGGGTTTCTGACACATGTCATACTCTCAGACAGCTACATCTTCGGAAGGCCATAACTTTTGCATACGAGCTCCGTTTTTGACGTTCTTTATATCCACGTGTAGGTTGAGACGTACTCTAAAACAATCATTTAGAACCCTAAGGCTAAAAAGTACTTTATCATAAACTCACTTTTTTATGATTCCCGATGTGGTGCCGGTATTGTCGCGAAACTTCGACAAGTCATAACTTCTTCGTTATAACTCGGATTTCAGCGTTCTTTATATGTACCGAAACCTTGTGACATATAATACAACTTAGTTAAGATTATTTGTTCTAAATAATCATCTATAAAAAAGTCATTTTTGACGCTTATCGTCTCTAATTTGACTAGCCCGAATCTGCGGGCGCTACACTTTTAGCCTCTCTCTATTTCTCTCACAGATGATAATAGCTCGATTAGGGTTTCTATCAGCGTGTTAAGGTGGTGAGGGAGGCGGGGTAAAGGACTTAAGGTCCTTTAAATATGGTGCATACCCTGAAAATTAGGGTTTTCACACTCAGCTCCTACTCGTCGAGTAGACTCTAAAAATCACGCGACCATCTCAATCTCTACTCGGCGAGTTGGGGCCTCCAACTCGTCGAGTTGCCCTGACAAAAATGAATATAATTTAATTAAATATTATACCTGGGAGTTGGGATGTTACACACACACACACATACATACATATATATATATAATTATATATATATTATATATATATATATATATAATATATATATATATATATATAGAGAGAGAGAGAGAGAGAGAGAGACAGAGAAAGAGAGAGAAATAGAGAGAGAGAGAGAAAAATGTTCAAATGAGACAATTATGAAATCGAGAACGCGAGAACAAATCTAGGCTACATTTTTTCCGCAAAACACTCCCGCGTACCGGCACGACGGAGGAACTTAATATGCATATGTGAATATAAAGGTAAGTATATTCTTAGATATTACAAATCTGTCGTTTAAGCGCTCCGGCATACCAGGACGATGTAATAGATAATATTCATATATGAATAATCCCTTGAGAATATGCATATACTCGTGCCGGTACGCGTGTGAGTTTTGCGGCAAAAAGAAATATGTGGCTCAGTGGTGGTTGTGTCAGTTGTGATGGTGGTGGTTTATATTCGCGTATGAATATTAAGTTCCTCTGTCGCGTTGGTATGAAAGAGGGTTTTGCGGCAAAAATATATATATATATATATATATATATATATATATATATATATATATATATATATATTTGTTCTCTATTTCATAATTGGTCTCATTTTAACCTCTCTATATATATAAAGTAAATCAAAATGATATAAAAGTCAGTTTTGTCGGTGAATAAATCCGCAACGAAAATCTATCAAAAATATGTTCTTTGCAAAAATGAAATATTTTGGGTACAATATTAAGAAAACAACAAATCATGTGGACCATTTTTGTCGTTTTCTATAAAAGATGTAATAATTTAATTATTAAAAAAATTGGAAAGCATAGAGAATAAAAAGTTATAAAATGATTTTTTCCCTTAAAAATAAAGATTAATTTTACAAAACGACCATTAATGTTGTACTCAATAGTCCAATAAACTATTTTTGTTTGTTTCATTATACCATTCACCGTTAGAATGAATTTCAACCTTATGCGTCATCCATTGTTGTTATCGAGTCTTGATATGTCGTAATTAGGATAAAACGCCTAGGCAAATATAAATTAATAAGTAAATTTTACCATATTAGATTTCACAGTGAAAGCTGTTGTATAAGATTTTCAATGCCAATTAATTGGGTCAAAATATACCTTAACGATGTAATCAGCCAAAACAAGAAGGTTTATCAACCTATTGAGTACATTTATAAAAATAAGTGACTTAAAAACTAAATTGTGAGTTATGTTGACCATTTTATTTGTTTTATGTCATTATCTCTTATATATAAATGATAAGATATTCAGTTTTTATGGTTTGAAAATTGAAACCCATGTAAATTAAAGCCAAGAATCTTCATTTGACTTCATGTTGAACGATGGAATAGAATTCAAACAAAAAATAATTACAAAACGAATAAGAAGACGAATCTAAGCTACAGTCCAAGACTGGGAATTCATGGGAAAACCCATAAAAACCTTCACCAATTCATTCCAACTCTTATCCAAAATCTACCCATCGAACTTCTCCAAAACTCCTTAGTTTGCTTCTAAATATTTCAGATTAAACAATCCGACTATACATACAATGGTTGCTGCCGACTTTGTCGTCGGGATCGTAGGTGAGCCCTAATTCAAGACCTGAGACACTGACATATGCATGCAAAAACAGTTTATTTCATTGTATTTTTCTACATTTAAATGTTTGTTTATCATATCATGCAGGAAACATCGTTTCTATACTGAGTTTCACTTCTCCCATGTAAGTATCAGTTAGTTTATGATCGAAACATAAAAAATGTGATTCTCACTACCAAATTAAGATCTGTTGCTATTAAAACCTAAACTGATCGACTTACTAGCTAGCTACCTTGTAAATGCTGCAGATCACAATTTCGGGACATTGTGAAGAGAAAATGTGCTGACAACTACAATGGAACACCATATATTGCAACGTTTTTGAGTTGCTCTTTGTGGATTTTGTATGGGCTACTTGACCCGGATGAAGGTCTCCTTATTGTCACTGTTAATGCAGCTGGTGTCGCCATGCAATCCCTCTACCTCATTCTACTTTTCATTTATTCATCAAAGGAAAAAAGGGTAAAAGAGAATATATATATATATATATATATATATATATATATATATATATATATATATATATATTAAATTTGTTAAAGCAAAATATATGTGGTTTTATATATAACCTTAAAATGTTATGTATTTCGTCAGGTTAAATATTTTGGATTTGTGGTGTTGGATGTTGTGTGTTTTGGAGTGGTTGTGGCTTTCACGCTTGTTGCATTTGAAGGTGGATCACGACGTACGTTTACAGGCATTCTTTGTGCAACTTTCACAACAATGATGTATGCCGCACCTCTGGCTGCATTGGTATGCAAAATTACTAACCCTTAATTTGATCTTCTTCTTCTTCTTTGTTCTCGCTTTGTTTTATAGGTGATTTAAATTATAATTACAATTACATATTGTATAATATGCATACAGAGAACAACAATAAAGACAAAGAGCGTGGAGTATATGCCAATTCTCCTTGTGTTCTCTCTTTTTGTCAACGGGTGTGTTTGGCTCACTTTTGCTTTGCTGGTCACAGATGTTTTCGTCCTTGTAAGTGATCTTGATATCCTCTCTTTTGATATAGCAATAAAGAAGTGAAAATCCATAAATAAGATATATATATATATATATATATATATATATATATATATATATATATATATATATATATATCAGGTTCAAGTATGAGTATCACTATCATTGCCATGGGGATGCTGTGATTTATCTGGTCTAAAGACCGCTTTATTAGATATCATTCTAAATCAACTATCAAAACAATGTAAGAACTCATCATTGCAGGTGCCAAATGCGATAGGGATATTGCTAGGAGTCTTACAGTTCTGTGTTTACTTGATGTGCAAAAACTCGACACCTATAGCTATGGTGAACGAAAAGGAAACTGAAATTCAAGACTTTTCTTTTGGAGATATTGCTGGTATTGATGTGAAAGCCAACAATGCAATTCCACAAAAGCGTGCTTTGAGTCGACTAGACGCCTTCCCAATTATAAGGTCACCATCCCTCAGCCCTAACAGGTCCAACTCTACTCAACATCACGAAGCTGATGTTGAACATGGTGGTGCAAACGCAAATTAATTAAGGATTTTTGTATCAGATTCAAATTTAACCATTGTATTTGATTCCATGAAATTTAACCATTGTTTTGCAATGGTCATGTCACCATTTGTATAAAGAAAACAACTATTTTTATTATTATTATTATGATTCAATGGCATAATACATACATACATGTAATATTGGTAATTTTTTTGGGTATAGGAAATTAAGAAAGTTTATTTTGGTAGATCACAATAACAAGTGGGCCCGCCTTTTGAGAATAAAGATTACTAACCATGTCTTGACTCTTGAAGCAACAAGTCAAGTATTATCTTTTAGTCTCACTCATTTAAAACCCCCAAAACAAGAAGAAAACTCGGGGTCTCAATCATCCATGGAATGAACAAACAAGTCTTTGACTTTGAGTTCCTCTAACTATTTAATTAATCCCATCTGATTCTACAACCACTTGCTCCAAGAGTCTCGATTATCTCTGTGGAAAGAAGCGGTCTAAGGGACCTGATCATCTTAACCTTTTTCAGTCGAGCACAACAAGCCCTAAGTGCCACTTCATACCCTCTTGCTGATACGTTTGTCAAGTTCACAAGCTTTGCATCCTGCATGCGTGTCAAGTTCCCCATCATCATGCACAAACCCACATCAGATACCCCACAGTAGCTTAGGTTTATCTGCATCAATCAATGTAAATACAAATACAATCACAACTCCACAAAAGTTGTATACTCCACAAATATATTATTATGGAAATTTACCTGTTGCAAATTCCAAGAGTAGTATGCGAGTGACCAAAACCCCGCATCAGTAATGTTTACACAATGTTTAATATCCAATTCTGAAAGCTTCCTACATCCTGATGCAAGAGCTGTCAGACCTGTGCCTGTGACTTGGGTAATACTACGCATCTCCAAGTCAGATAGTTCCTCCAATTGGCTTAAATAAGCCATCCCTTTGTCTGTAATCTTACTGCAGTAACATATATTTAGCTTCCTAATCTTTTTGCAACCACTGCCTAAAAAACCTAATCCATCATCACCAACATTTGAACACCTACAAAAAAAAAAAGTTGAGGAAAGAGTAGAAGCAATATATATAAAGATTAAAAACCATCATGTAAATGTAACATTTACCGGTATAAATCAAGTTCTTTAAGGTTTTTGCAATGTGAAGCGATATAAGACAATCCCTTATCTGAGATATCGGTACAAATCCCTAATTTTAAGCACCGAAGCTCCAAGCATTTAGACAGATATTCAAGTCCTGAGGAAAAACAGGAATAATAAATTTTAATTAATCAATATATTCCATGGTTATACTGCGGAAAGCAACCCCTCATTAGTGAACAAAATTAACAAGATGGAAGGAATCACATTTCTTTAAGAACCGTGCACTCCATTCCATCAAATAAAACAAATAGTTTTTTTTTTTTTTTTTTTTTTTTTTTTTTTTTTTTTTTTCCTTCCAATAGAATGAACCATTCAATTCCATTCCTTCCCTAGTTCCATCAAATTAAACACTAACCTTTGTCATTCACACTACATTCCGTTAGATCAAGCTCCTCAAGTAAGGGACATGATGACCCAAGATAGCTAAAACTTTTTTCAGTGAGCAAAGAGCAAGACTCCAATTTCAGGCAGGAAAGCTTTCTACATGACTGTGCTATGGCTAATATTGCCATATCAGTGATGTCATCACAGCAGGTTAAATCAAGTATGTTCAAGTTAGGATGCCCAGATACAAGCTTAACAATGCCTGTGTCATTTACTCCTTCACATTTGCTCAAACCAACTTCAACCAAAAGCAAGCAATTAGTGCTTATAATATCGAAAAAAGAGTCAGCAATTTGAGCTCCATGAACCCTAAATGTTTTTAGATGCTTCAAGTCTGTAAAATTGTGAAAAACAGAGGTGGGAAGCTCCTGATGCATCAAAAGAGATCACTTAATTAGTATGGAGAATCATTGAATGATGGCAAGCTTCATAGTAGACTGAATCGAATAGACTCACAAGAAAATGGTAACCAACATTGAGCTTTTGAAGGCCTTTGCATCCTCTAATGACACTAATCAGACCAGCAGAACTTACATTTTCACACCTCGTTACATCTAATACCTGCAACCAGAAACTATAATGTATGTGAAACCAATTAAAGATATGCATGATTGTGCATAAGAAGTATGAAAGCAAATCACAAGACAAATATCTTCCCTGGTGCCCTATCTTTATGTTTCAGGTGTCAACAAGTTCAAGAAAAACATACACAATCGATAGTCAACTAGTTTTACTAATGTGTGTGCCTAGTCAAACATTGCAATTTTTGGATGGAAGGAGTAGTTAGTGCATCCATTTATAGTATAGTTTCCGTATATATACAGTTGAAGCAAGAATGTTGGATACGATATGCGTTAACATGTAAAAATAAACATAGAGGTTCACAAATTTGTGCAACATACACGTATACATTATCTCAAACCAACAGATTATTTGAATCTTCCTATAACTTAATTAAGAAAGTATTATAACTAACAATAAATGTAAGAAAGTAAACAAATCAAAATGAGATCAAAATAAATTCAATGTAAGAAAAAAGTAAGGAATAGGAAAAAAAAAATTGAAGGTCAGAAACCTGTAGTGAATGACAACCATTTCCAAGAAAATGCAATCCCTCATCGCTCACTAATCCACATCCCATCATAATCAACGCCTCCAACTTCTTCAAACGACTTACTGACCTTAATGACTCATTACTTATCTACAAAAGAAAGGACAAACCCCATTAATTGAGAAGACGAGTCCAAATTCAGTACTTAAAATAGATTGGACGTGATCGGATAACAATGGTAAGATGTATTTACATTGGAGTCAAGAATTTACCTTGATGTACGACACGCAAAGATGCTTCAACTGGGGACACTTTTTTGATAAGAGATCAATTCCCAAATCAGTTATCTCCAAACACCATTTCAAACTGATCTTCACCAATTTCTCACACCCAACGGCGATCTTAGCCAACCCTACATCCGTCACTCTCAAACATTTATCCATCTTAACCTCCCTCAATTCCGCAGCACACGACAGCGCTGCTGCCTCCCTGTCGCCAAACTGAATACAGTGCGACACATCCACAGCCTGCAACCCAGGGCAGGACCCAACCAGCATCTCCAGCCCAGAAAACCTAAACGACGTCGTCCTGGACAGCACCACCCTCCTCAGTCTTTGTGCCCATCCATAACAGTTGACGTTGTTGAGCAACACAGAGATTGTCCCGTCGTAGATCCGAGGACAGACGGAGAAGTCAAGCGTGTCGGCGCGGGTGTAAGTTCGGAGGAGACCCGGGATGAACTCGGGTCGTAAGAACTTCAGATGAGTCCGGTGACTAGATTCAACACGGTGGAAAAACTTGCAGGTTGCACGGAAGGATTTGCGGTCGGAATCATCGAAGAGACAATCAAGCACTCGTGCTAGGAGGTCGTCCGTGAGGAGATATAGAAATAAGCACGAATCCATTTGATAGAGAAGGTAAGGTACGATCGGAATCTAAAATCTATGCATCTAAGTGGGAACGAAAAGGAAGAGCAGGATGTTCAGTGGTTGGTGGGTAGCAGCGGAGAGAGAACGGCAAGACTTGAATCTCCGTTTCCGGATGACGGTCATTTTCTCCGGCGGTTTGGGAGTTCCGGTGGGGCGACACTAACGGCGGTTTCCTTTGTACGGCGGAGGTACGATCATCAGATCAGTTTTAGAGAGAGAAAACAAAAACCTGAAAACCCGTTGGCAGTGATAAGCTGTGTCGCAGATTTGACGTAAATATTCACGTGACACTCCAAGTGGCAAAAGCAAACGCGTGATTGATTTCAGACCGTTGGATATAGCAAAGTTGGTGACGAGACAGTGGTACAGTGGGGCCATGTACGTGCAGCGACCGTACCTATCTCCTATTCATCCGAGTTTGAACAAGATAAACATCACACAAATGGTCCCTAAATTATTACTTAAGCGATAGATTTTCTCCCTACATTTTTGATATTACGTTTTTGGCCCAACAAAATCTTTCTTGAACCAGTTAAGTCCTTGTCCATTGTCCAAGGCAAAAGGCCGAAATGTTTATTCGATACATCATCACGTGGACTTGTAAGCTTTCGTGTTGTTTGATTTAAAAGAGGACGACTGCTTACACTATTATATATACTATCAATTCTCAAAACCTTAACTACAGTCAAAGTTCTTTCTCTTTCTTGTTTTGACACGGGATTCTTTGGCTTTGTTATTTTGACACTGAAACTTCTGTTTCTTCTTTTTAGCTACAGTCAAAGTTCTTTCTCTTTCTTATTTTGACACGGGATTCTTTGGCTTTCTTATTTTGACACTAAAACTTCTGTTTCTTCTTTTCTCGCGCAACCCAGTATACATTTTGCCATCCTTTTCTTCTCTTCCTCAAAGGCGGTTGCCGCCCTTCTCAACCAATACCGTTCGTTTGCGTTTTTCTTAAACCGCCATATATTTTGTCATCGTTACTTGCACCAGGCACTTCTTAAAACTTTCCACTGCTTCTGCTATTCATCGTTTTCTCTTCAACCCACCACTTTCTTTCTTTCATGGCTTCTCCCTAAAGTTGATTTCAGTTTTTATGATTTCCAATTTTCAAATTTCTGGTGTTTCTTTGTTCGTCTTTGTCTGTACGTTGGAGAGGTTCACAGAAGAAATCGTTTTATGATCGACAACGTACCATCGTCGACCTCGTCACAATTGAATTGCCGTTGGTCAACAACGTTGTCGACGGTGTTGTCAACTGCGGAGGGCGTTGATTAAAGGGAGCTTCTTCTCAACAACAAGTGAGACGTATACCACCACCAGGGTTTTCGAGCAACCCAAGGAGTTGTTGTCGTTCTTGAATACCTGCCTTTTTTGTTCAATAATTTATGTGGGTTTGTTGTTGTTTGTTGTTTGCAGATTAAAAGTATTGATTTCGATTTTTAATCGGGCTTTAATTTTCGATTTTAGGACTCAATTTCTGACTTGCATCAGTTCGTAGAAGCTCATGTAGTACAAACCCTGAATCTTGGTATAGACATTTTGTCTATCTTGTCTCATGCTATGACAACGAATTGGGTTACAGGTATGTATATTGATTGTTCTGGAAAAGCAAACCATCTTTTTTTGGTCATAGGTAGTAGATTTTTATCTTACTTAATTTGTAGATTGATGGGCGATTTTTGTTGTAGTAACTGTCAGGTGGGTGCTTCTACAGAGAGGAAGGGAGTCTTAGTTGTAAGACTTGGGTTCATCAGAGTTCCATTTTGATGGAATTCAGTTTCGTGATGGCCCGATGAAAAAACGAAACAGGTTGTATCGAACAAAGCTGAGAGGGTTACTGATGTTTCATTTTTGCTTGATGATGGCACAGGTGATGTAGACTGCAATAGATGGTATTACAATTTTCTTATGCTCAATTGCTTATATTTCTCTCTTAATCTGTGTTTTTCCCAATATAATTTAGGTGGTTGTGATGTTTTAGGGTATATGAACCGGTACACAGAAAGGAGATGAAAGCAATAACATTCCTTCGATTCAGACTTCCTTTCAGGTTACAAAAGTAAGTTCTTCGCTCCATATATAATCAAATCATTACATGGTGACATAACAAAAAAACATGAAGGTAACTTTGAGCAAACCAAAACTTCTTAGAAATCCTCAAATCAAGTTTTTCAGGCCTGATGGTGTTTTAGATTGTTGTCTTTTCTTTGCTTTGTGTTTTAGATTGTTCTCTTTTCTTTGCTTATAAACAAAAAATTTTGATTTTTATGGCAGAAAGACTTTAGAAGAGATAGCTTTGTTATTTGTTTTTTATGTAATTTAGTTTGCTGGAAATTGAAAACAGGGGTAAAAGAGTAATTTTTTCTAGGCCTGATTGAATTTGGGATTTAATGGTTTTGCAGAAGCCGTGGAGTTCCTGCTTTTTTTCGAAGACATGGACTTCTTGTGTTGTGAAACAATTTCCACTTATGGGTGAGTATTCATCATTACATTTTCATAGAGGGGATGTTGGTCAGAATGGTGTCATTTATTCCATGAATACCATTCTTTTATCATTCAATTCCATTCCACTTTCAGAATGGTGTCATTTGTTTTAGTCTTTATTTTATAATTTGTTGATTTTAAAGTTCCCTTATTATTATTCAAAATAACATTTGTATTTTTGCAGACCGGTAGGGCCATGGCTTCAGCTTTAAATGTTGTACAAACATACCATTTTTTTTTGCTGATTATGCACTTCTTTCAAAGGCAGTTGACTCTGAACAGGTATATATCTATAGATTTCTTTCTTTTGGCATTTTGGAGGATATTTTGGGAATTTAAGAATTAGTCGAACACTTATCTACAAGCATCTGTCTAATAAACAACACAATTTTCATAGGAAAAGTGGAGGTTTTTTTTACAATATTATTGTCATTGCTATGAGAAATGCTAAAAATGGCCAAAACGACAAAAATGTTTTCTAACTATCACATACCTTCATTTCTGTTGACTTATTATCGAAAACAAATAATATGGTTTCCATCTTTTAAACCAAGATTGTTTATTTAACTATACAACATTGCCTTTGTGCACATATTTACTTTTAGGAGAAAGGCCTTGGAAACTTTTGTGGATTGCTTGGATTGGATTTCAGGGACCTTTGAACGGTATCCTCACATACCAGCTTTTTGATGTTTCCTTCATTTCTAAAAAAGTATTGTAATAGAAACAAATAAAAGTAAGATGGTATAATACAATAGTTATTTTCAAATGACTATTTTGCCCTTGTATGAAAAGTGAAAAATTCATAACTTTGTAATACCCTTTAAGTAAAGTGTAGTTTTTTTTTAATTTTATTATTATTATTATTATTATTATTATTTTCAGTTAACAACAACAACGAACTATCAGACTTGGATCAACAACAGTATTGCTTATGCCTAATGATGTCCTTTCAACCATCGCCATAATTGAGGTCTCATGTTCAAGCAAGAAATCAACGTTGGAGGGTTGCTATGCTTTATTGTGTTTTTTTTTACAGTGATAGCTGTCCAACAAGAATGAAATGAAAGGAAGAATGGAATTATTTATTCTGTTGCCAAATGGAATGGAAAGTGTTTTTAAGTTTCAACACCGCAATCTTATATAATTATTTCAGGACCATAATCTTGACTTTTATTTATTTATGTATTTCAGATGTTTAATTATTTGTAGATTTTTGTGGATGATAATACTTCATGGGCTTTAATACTGGCTGCATTTTCTGATCAAGTGACCTTCCCACTTCCTTTGTATTCTCTTTAACTGAGCTTTGTTTTTTTTAATATAATTGTTATAGCATTGTACTTTTTAACTTTCTTTTTCAAGATGTTATATAAAATCTTCAAGAGCATTTAGGAAAACTTGATCCAACCCGGCGCCAACGGCGCAGGTAATTCCTACTAGTTTCAATCATTTTCTATAAGATGGTGTAAAAACTAAAAACAATATAAATAATGTTTTATTTTCGGTAGTTACAACAATTTTATATTAAAAGTAGGATTGTTTATACGACAGCCATTATATTTTGTTTATTTTTATAGTTTAATCATTGTATCTTATTTTTTTTTCTATTAAACCCAATATATTTTAAGAAAAATGTTAATTGTATTATTTATTTCTCTATGATCAAGATCCTTTATGTAATTATCTTAAACATTATATCATATTACTGTGAATGACAATGCAAACCATAAGGGGTTAGTTTTCCACAAACATGGTATCAAGCCATCTTCACAGCACTTAGGAACGACCTCCACTTATGTTGGGTTTTTTTTCTCCACAAATTCGCCTATCCTCAAGCACGTCGTCGATCATCAGCCTTGGGTCTCACGCCAACATCACGTAAAGTCCCAAAAATAAACCAAAATTTTTTAATTTTTAATTAACTAAAACAATTATCCAAACATCATCATAACCATAGAAAACCCAAATGTATCATCTTGATCATAAAACATCAGAGTAATCATAAGAATGCGGAACAAAATAGTGTGTGCACTGCAATCACCCCGAGCTATTCCCCTTTGTACCAGAAGTACCTGAAATATAAACAGAAAACCGTAAGCACGAAACTTAGTGAGTTTCCTCCAAATACCACATACCACACATATCAAACATATATTGGGCATTGTCCGATGCGTGTAACGGGCCCCGCTCTACTCGCATAACGGGTCCCGCCCACTGAGTATAACAGAACCCGCCCTAACTCGCATAGCGGGCCCCGCTCACTGAGTATAACCGGCCTCGCCCTAACTCGCATAACGGGCCCCACTCGGCATACAAACATATAAGTATAACGAGTAATAACATACAAAATAACCATTGGGCCCGGCCCACTAAGAATACAAACACATACACATGCAAGAGTCACGTAAACATCTAGTACCTAACATAAAAACCATGGGCCGACATTGGTGCCTTCGACCCCCTAACATGGTGAGGAAAACTCACCTCAAACTATTGAATCACTCGGATAAATCTCTGCATGCTGGTCCGACAAATCCCAACGCTATCAATACCAATAACATCCAATTTGTAACATCCATAGAAATCAAGCCAATTTAAAACTTTTTCAAACATTTAAAATCATGAGTTATTACAAAAAAGTTTTCCAAAATAGTTTCATATCAGAGTATCCCAGAAATCATAGTCATAAATCGAGGAAGTGTACGGTCACGTCTTCGCCTTCCCGCGGTCATCCGCTGTACCTGAAACAATAATCGAAAAATGTAAGCTCGAAGGCTTAGTGAGTTACCTCCAAAATACCCATACACACAATAATACACAGATAATAAAAAAAACAACATACTATGGGTCCAATCGTCCGTCAGGATGGAATACCCCAGGCCCCTCAACCATCGGGTTGGAATGCCAACATACTATGGGTCCAATCAACCTGTAACACCCATAAAATTCGAGCCAATTTAAAACTTTTTAAATCATTTAAAACCACTCAGTTATTACAATTTGTTTCCAAAATAGTTTAAACATCAGAGTTCCCAGAAATCATATTCATCAATCGAGGAAGTGTACGGTCATGCATTCGCCTTCCCGCGGTCATCCGCTGAACCTGAAACAATAAACTGAAACTGTAAGCCCGAAAGCTTAGTGAGTTACCCCCAAAATACCCATTGATGTGTGCAAATGGTTACACCTAATTTTAAATTTATAACCTAACTACCTTAACTAACTACTTGCACCTAGGCATTGTACCTAGTCAGACTATAGTATAGCTTTGGGTAAGTCGGCTGTCGATCACAGGGAACGGTATTGACTAATTAATCTACTTACTATTAAACTAACCTAATTATCAACAAAGGAAAGAGATTTATCTAATTTTGCAAGATTAGACTAACTTAACTCAAATTCAATCAATAATTAAAAACACTCTTGTTTAGTTCGAATCCACTTCTTCTTTATGGTTAGCTAACAATTATGGATTATCAAGTTGGTTGTTATTGTATTAGTAATTTAAGTCTAAATTTCCTAATATTCATGTAAAACTATGTATGGTCACACACAATCAAACACAGAACCAGTTATGATTATGAATATGCTATGTAAGATTATGCAAACACAATTATGGTCATAATTTATGTTCTCTAGCACAGCTAACTTTAATTACTTTAATTATTATCTAAGATTGATCAATCCTAGCTCTAGCAATTCAATGTTCACTAAATCACTAGGTTTCAAGTTCATGTAATTTAATAATCACTAAGCTACACAGAACATGAATTCAAGCAACTAAAGAAACAAATATTAACATGCTAGGTAATAATAATCAACACAAGCAAATTACCAACTAAGCAAATCCATTATCAATAAGCTAAACCATAAGTCAGAAGCTTCATCTAACTAAACAAGAGTAGCTAGATTCAGCTGCTCATAGCAACAGATAAACAAACACAAATCATAATAGAAGTCATAATGAATGTACCAAACAATTAAACTATTAATGTACTCTTTTCTTCTTTGGTGGTAAAAGCCTCTTCCAACACTTCTTCCCTTTTGAATTTCGTCTCCGGAAACCCTCCAAGGCAGCCAAAAGTCCCTTAAGTCGTAATGGTCAAGCGTTTTTATACTTTTCCCGAAAGTCGTGATTCACGTCGTGACAGGAAGCTTCACGACGTGACCTAAGAGATATCCTTATCGGGCACGGATTCTTACTCCGCACATATTTATCTTCTGGAAGATTCAAGACCACGTCGTGATCATGAGGTTCACGTCGTGATTGGAGTCAAATCCGTGGATTTCTTATTCTTTCATTCTCCAAGTCTCCAAAGTTCCAAGTATTGTCAATTCTGGTCCCTTTCTTCGAAAATGCTTTAATTTGACTGCAAATAACAATTTATCTTTATAAGTACCATTATTCTATATAAATAACCAAAATATCAATAAAAATGTAAATAAATATTGCCTAAAAATATGTATAAACATGGCAATATCAAAATACCCCACACTTATGCTTTGCTTGCCCTCAAACAAAACTAATTTATTTTAATGCTTAAACCTTTATCACCAACATCACATAGAACGATCCAACTCAAACTCAGCCATTATGCCAAGACTTCAACGCATGCATTTGTGTCTAAAATTTTTCCTACGTAACCCCCTCAATTCTAAATACTTACAATCCTCATAAACACGCATCCACTTCTTCTGAACAATGCTCATTTTATGCAACCCTCCGAATCTATCCTCAGAGAACTTTCTTAACCTCAAGGTATTTTTGTAAAGCTACCCAAGCATACATATTCTAGAGAATTACAACTTTTAAGATACCATAATATGGAGCTCTTGAATTCTTCTTTCTTTGACATTTGATCTTCAATTTGTACTTTGAGTTCATCACCTTTTTTTTTGTGTGATTTTTGGTATCTTCAACTTTTGATTTTTCTTCAGAATTTTTGATTTTTGATCTTCAAACTTTGATACTTCTATAGCTCCAAAAATTCTTCAATTTTTTTCATTTTTTGGTAATTTCTCTCTCTTTTTTTTTACATGTATAACTTACTTTTTTACTCAAAACCCTACATGCTTAAGCAGGGGCGCTTAGCTTCAACCTTTATTGGTTAATGTATTAGTCTTCCTAGATACATTTTAAGTACAGGCTGCTAAACATATTGCATTCCTCAAACTAAGCGAGGTTGTGTTTTTGTCCCATGATTTCACTAGAATAAAGGAGGCCACAAATGCACTATAACATATATCGGCTCAACTAAACATTTGAGCTCTCATCGGATCATCCCAGGCAACACTAGCAACTTAAGTTTAGATTATCATAACTACTAGAATTTTTTATTTAGATTATTATTTCAAATCTATATCCATTTTTTTTAAATTTACTAAATTCTAGCAATTTATTAAATTTACTAAATTTACTAAATTCTAGCAATTTATTTTTAGCAATCTAAGCAATTACTTTTTCGACCCCTACCCCACACTTATTACATACAATGCCCTCATTGTATGCAGAAACTAAATAAAAGCAATAAAAGGGAGAAAAAGGAACAGACTCCCCTGGGATAGTGGCGTGATCGAACTCCATTCGTGTGGATGAAATGTGCATCTCGAATATGGACTTCTTCTAAATCTGAACTTGGACCTTGAACTTGCGAAATATGTGAATGAGCCAACAAGCAACTAATCGAAACTTTGTTCTTCAATAAAAGTGGTGCAAATCTCCAAGGTGTAAATAATAATGTGGGAAAGCATATGCCACATTGTACGGTAAAGACAACGAGCCATAATTGTCTTCATAATGATCCCAAGAATAACCATGGCAAGCCAAAAAGTAAAATGCATCAATGGATTTTAATTCTTTGAAAAATTGGAAATCACGTCGTGGTTAGAACAGCCACGTCGTGGGTTCGCATAACAGCGCGTATTGCATATATCCAGAATACCGGTTCACGACGTGAAATGAAAACCACGTCGTGGAAACAGAGTACCTAGAAAATAAAACTTCCCACGTCTTCATGGAATTTTAACTAATGTCTTAATTTGTTAAAACTCTTCTCATTCAGTATTCTAAAGACCCTTTCTGACTCCATCCTCTCTTTTTGACGCACCCCACACTTATTTCCAATTGTGGGTCTCGACTTGTGACTCTAGACTCTAACCCGACTCTTGGCTAGACGTAAACGCTTTTGACTCGACCTTCCTTACCGAAACTCCATTGCAAATCTGAAATAAACCAACCAAAGGACAAATAAAAGTAACATAATAGTTTAACAAGTCTTACAAACCATAACAAGTTTAAAAACCAA